CCCCCCCCCCCCCCCCCCCCCGGCGCCATCACAGTCATGGAACAACGAGTCTCAATCGGCGCGAGTTTCTCGTGCATAAGTTCTTGTCACAAAATCGATCTCTTGCCCTCGACGAATGTTCGGGTACATTATTGAGAAAAAAGGGGCATGGCTTGGGCCGGGACAAAAGTTGGCGAAATGCCTCCTGTTCGGCTTGCTAGATACGAAAATCGCAAGCGAAGAAAGAGAAAAATCAGCGCTTGTTATCTTCCGAAGCAGTGTCATATCCGTAAACAAGATCCACCTGGGGCCCTCAGCTCACCTTGTCAGCGAAAAACAGGCCGAGGGTCTGCTTGTTGAAACCGTGCTTGGCCTCCACCACAAAGGTGGAGTAGAGAGAAAAAGGCAACCCAATCAACGTCTGCGGATAAGCGAATGGCCGCCAGCGAGAGCGCACGCGGGACAAATAGGGGTCGAGAGTCAGCGAGGAGTTACTTGTCGACAACGTCCTCCATCGGATTTCGGCCATTCGCAATGTGTGCATGGTAAGCAGGCCGTAGTGCAGCAACAGAGTCATGCCTCCGGCGGGGGAAAGGGGGGGAGGGTCGGGGATCTGTGTAGCTATCCGGGCGCTCCGGAGCGGTGACCAATTTCGTGTTTAGCAAGACCACGGAGCCCCAGCTGTCGTGAGCAATCATGCATGGTCGAGGCATGAGACTGGTTCCCGCGATTGTAAGTTCGTCTTCTAGACAAGAGGACAGCCGTTGTCTCCAGCGGCTACAGCGAAAGCGAAAACAAACACCTGGGTTGACCGGGCGTGCTGAACAACGATCCTCGCCTTGCCTGCAAAACCATCGTCAGCACGAAGAAGGTGAGGCTGGTTGGGATGTCTCCACCCCAGTCCCCCAAGCCTGCCAGAGCCACAAGGCCCGAGCTGACATCCCACAGCCACGGCATCCATCCCAGAAGGTTCGTGGTCAGCCCAACAACTAGGTCAAACGTACTGTCGAAGAAATGAAAGCGGCTCTTGTCCAGCCCGTACGCCTGGCTTGCCGAGAACTTGCTCTCCACCTGACGACACAAAAAACATTGGTGGTATCGACGATTTTGAGCGTATGGGGTTTACAGTCACGTTACAATGCCGGGTTCGCTTGCTACATACGAGTCTTCGACAACAAAGTGTCATATCGACGGCACGATTCTGATGTGGAATCTACCCTTCCAACCATGCAGCACCGTGCTGCAGAATAGCCCCCCGCTGAGCAAAATCCCAAACCTTTGACACGGCGTCCAGTCCTTTGTTATCCTCATCGACGGTCTTCAGCACCTCCAGTAGGGTGGAGGGCGGTGTTCCTGCCTTGAGGTTCCGGTGTTGTCGCAGGTCGAGGTAGGTCTCCAAGAGATATACCAAGAGCGTGAAGCAGACGAAGAAGAGAAGAAAAGGGGCATCGCTCTTTTCGGCACCCTCCTGGCGGTACTTGGGGAACGCGTCGAGCCCAATGGAGCTCTCTAGCTTCGCTAGGAAGCCTAGTACGGAAGGGAACGCCATCGAATGCTCCGTGCAAAACCTGGAGACGGGCGCCGGGGGCAAGTGTCGGAAGTACTGCGGTTGAACGGCGCTTTTATCGGCTGGAGTTTTCCGGCGTGATGCATTGTCGCCCCGGTGGTCTAGTTGGTATCCTCGACACCTCCTACAGGTCAGGTCAATAGTTCGAATCCCGGCGTAAGCGAGCTTTCATTGCAATCTGAGTTTTCCTCTCGCTTCCGCTCTTGGCCTAGCGGATAGCGTCTCGCATTAACCATCTAAGGCAATATACCGCAGGAGGGGAGGGTAGAGAGGGGCTCTTCTGGGTGACCACGGGTTGGAGTAAACGGCACTGTGCTGTGAGCGCTGATTTGAAGTCAAGACAAGAAAAAAAAAAATGCCTCGAGACGCGTGTACAGCCCTGTTTAGTACCTCGTACGGCGCGTGTACAGCAGTATCTCTGGTGGAGAGAGAAAAATGAGGTCTGTTTACGATCTGGTAGTGACTATTTAGGTCTGAGCGGATGTTGAACCGTAGCTCCGCGCAAGGGACGTCTAGCACACCTCCGTGGCCGACCCAACCCAACCTTAACCCTTCACAACGATGAGCCGCGTTCTCGAAACGCGGAACAGAGAGAGAGCGCCGGAGAATAGTCCACCGCTCCATCAAATGAGGGCGTTACTGCAGCTGGGGCACTAATCCGTATCGAACAAACTGACCGTAAACACGTAAAAACTGCTGGAGAAGGTTTTGTCTGGGGAAGAGGGCTTCGGGGGAGGCAGAACCAACGTCATGTTGGGCACGGGTAGTTTCTCTGCGTTTGTACGTTGTCTAGAAAGGGGAGCAGATCGTTTGTCCTCACCAAGGAGCAATTTACCGTTACACCCCGCAGTATGCGACCCTCAATCTAGATCTAGATATGATACTGTGTTCCCCACGCTTTTAAACAGGGAGTGGACGTTGAGACAGCAGTGTAGGACGCAAAAACCTGATTCACTCGCTCCTTGCACAAAAGCCTGTTTGTCAAGCGAGGCAGTCTCATGTCCGCCTACGCTTGTACATTTACGCAGTCTACGAAGACAGCTGCACTGCTTGTATGCATTCTACGAACAATGTCAGAGCGGGTAGACATTGCTGTCTACTGGCAAACTGTTGTTACAGCAACTATCTCTCAGCTGCCCAACTGGAAAACTGTTGAAATCTACCAGGTACTCTGGGGTCAGCAGTAGTAGAAGCCTCAAGGCTTAGACTACATCAACACGATTTTCAAGTACTGCTAGACATGTTGTAGTCAAGTAGGGGTGTTGTTGTGGTGAGCTTTCACTGATCAGCAGTTCTTCACAGCTAAGCAGTTGAGAGAAAAAGCTGCAACAGCAACCGCAGTAGTACATACCCCCATCGGTAAAAATTGACGGCAGCAGTCTAGAATGCAGATACATGCTGCCGTGTACACAGCAGTACTGCTGTAGTCCCACAGGATCGTCGTGCTCCGTGCACCAGCCAGCGGAGAATTGCCAGGACCGCAGGGTCGGCTTCACGACTTGGCTTGGCTCAAGCCAAGAAAGCCAAGAAGGCACCAACACTTCTCACCAATTCAGGAACACAGGAGAAAGGTGAAGAAGAAGAAGAAGAAGGAGGTGTTTGTTGCACGCATGCAACAGGGGTGCTGCGTGGTAATGATACACGATAAGCTTCAATCTCTCGATCTCTAACCTCTCGGGAACACGGCAGAGTTTACATCCACGGAGCCCCCATATACCCACATACCCGAACCTCACCGCACCCTATCCCATGTAGAGAACCCCATCGTGTTCTCCGCCGCCGCTTTTGGACGTGCGCGCGGCAAGGCACATTCATTCGCTAATAAGAGAGAGAGGTGGGGAAAGGGAGAGACACACAAGGAAAAGGGGACCAAAGGAAACCCCCAACGCGTGCACGCTTGTTGCCTGGCTGTGTTCTGTCGACACAAGCGAGTCGGCCTCGGTTTTTGCAGCCGACGGTACGGAAAACGAAGACTGAGGAACTGAGGAAGTGAGTGTCGATCTAAAGAGCGGAAAAGAGGCGGCTTCACAAGACTCAGGGAGGGGTTGGACAAGAAGCGAAGCAAGATGGAAAGCGGAGGTTCCCCTCCCCAGATAAGCGGTGAGTGTCGAGACGCAATCGTTGGGCAGATAATGGCCCGTAGCAGCCCACCTACCACGTTTTGAGCTGCTGGACATTCCGACAACAACCGGTATGATACATTCCGGAAAAAGGTACACACCAAAAATGCCCCTTGAGCCAATTCGAGCGAGTTGAGATCCGCAGCCGGGCGGGAGCGAAGCTTGTCCTCGTCATCTCTTGGTGTGTCCAAGGTTAAGCTTGCTGCTTGGCCGGAGAGAGACGAAGGGAATACACACGCACCGTAGTTCATGTCCACGAGGGGAGGCACGGCCGGGTCCAGCCTGTCGGTGACGTATGACTCGGAGAGACGCGGCCTACCAAGCTGCTGGCTGCTTGCCTACTGTAAATAAGAGAAGAATAAGATTCCCTGCCCTCCTGTTCGATGATACTTCGTATATTACGTTGTAGCGCTATTATAATAGTAGACGGCTGTGTGTGCGGGCCTCCCTCTGTTTCAAAGGGATGTTAGTCCTTGGTGTGGGCACCAGCACAAAGCGGCCTCGATGCCCCTCGAACCGAAGGAAGCACGTGTGTGCGAACACAGCTTATCACTACTGTTACGACAGCCATCCACCTACTACCGCGATTTGGCATTAATGTAGTCTTCCTGCTGCTGCCGCGTACACGTGCTATAAATAAATACCTATTTGATTTACTCTTGACAGGATGGATGCCACAGAAGGCAAGACAGACAGACAGCCCGGAATTCTGAGCGTGAATGAACCGCTAACGAAAAACATTTTTTTCTTCTTGGCGCGAGATTCTAACTATACGTTGGCTGGCACCACCGATGTCACGCCCCTTGTTTTTGGTGCTGCTGTCGTTATTCACAGCAGTACATGTGTAGTGCATACCGCAGGCATACGTACTGCACCATGTCGGCGTTTTTCGACCGGGACAACACATCGATTGAACATCATTGGGTGCGCACACAACGCTTGATGCTTTGTTTCCCTTTGTGACGCCTTTGGCGTACCGCCTTTCCCCTCTCTTTTTTGTCCCCAAAAATCTCTGGGGAGGGGGTTAATGCGAAGCACCGCGGTACAGCAGTAGTATCGAACTCCTTGCTTCTCATTCCTCCTGATTCCTACTCTGTAGGGAGTACAAAGCTGATGCTGCTGCTGCGGCAGACGTAAGCGCTTCGAAACTGTTACGGGTCGGTCCATCGAGCCTTGGGACAACAACGTAAAAAATCTTAAGCAATTTTATTGACAATCAAAACAACGGGTGGTAACGTAGCTGCAAAGCATGTGTGGTGGAAGCATGAGCTTGTTGGACTACTTGCCTCTGCTGTGCCTTGAGCCTTAGCATTGTGCTGCGATATACTGGGAGAATACTTGCGGTTTCTTGTACTTGTCATGCGTCGGTGTTGTACATATTCCGAAATACGTCCGTATTTGTCTAGTGTAGGTTGTTCGCAGTCCGTTGGATGTATGTGGAAGTCCGTTGCTGACTGTGTAGAAGTACTCTGAAGTATGTATGTTCAATATGCATATTATACTGAGTTTTTGTAGGAACGAACGGACAAGAGTAGTATTGGCCATGGATGGACGTTGGCTGCATGTACATATGCGTACACAAGCACGATTGCGATGATGACGATGTGTAGCATCTTGTAGGGAGGCCGGCGTGTGGCCGTATGAGGTTTGGTTCTTTGATAACAATAGCTCTTTAGGTCTAACCGATGTTGAACGTAGCAACATAGCAATGCGAGATTCCTCGGCGAGCAAGGCTAGGTTCCTCGCCCGAACCAACCCTAACCCTAACCCTAACCCACGGCCAACGCGCGGCCTAGCGGCCGTGAATAGGGCGAGCACGCGGCTGCACCGCGTTCTCGAAATGCGGAACGGCTAGAGAGCGCTGGAGAGGAATCGGCCGTTAGAATCAACGCCAAACACCGCCCGACCAATCAGAGAGCGTTAGTCCTAAGTTTCTACTATCAATGTGTAACCACTACTGGCTGCTTGGCCGTGTCCGTATATTCATGTGCATCTTGAGACAATGGCAAGCTCCGCGATCAACAGTGGTGGACTTTAATTGATTAATATATGTTGACGACAGGCGCCCTCATCCTTGAGTGAATTTTGGGAACACTCCTCTCAAGCACCCCCCCCTGTGTTTGCCATCGGGGTTGGGTTTTCGTCGCTTGGCAACGACGTTGTAAAACAAGCCAATTCACTTCGTGAACTCGGCAACCAGGTTACCGTTTTTTTTTTTACCTCCGTTTTTTTTTTTGGCGGTAACCATAATGGTGGTCGAGTAGATCATGTTGTGCGGGGTGGAGAACCCTCACTCCGCGCAAGGGGGATGATCGCACCACGTTGTGTTAAAATGGTCAAGCACCCTCGAGGCAGTTACACAGTGCTTACAACTGTCTCTGGAAGTGAAAGCACTAGAAAGTAAATTAAGTCATACGCAGCTGTCATCCCTAGGCAAGGAGGTAAGCACAAGATGACGAACACCCTTAGCAGGATGCAGCGCACCCTTCATGCGACTCGCCGAATA